AAATGATTGAATTCGAATTTCCTACTTGCTGTTTAACTATAACATGTTATTTCTAATTAACTAAATGATCTCACTTTAATGTTTTACACAGGTCACAATTCTATGGAATACAGTTACTGCTTATTACTGAGCAATGTTTCAACAAGTCTTCTCTAGTCTTTCTCAAACAAATGATTAAATATAAAATGTAATTAAAGAATATATATGTAAAAACAATCCATGGCCAAAATCTGTTTTGTTTTAAACCTTTTTTTTATTAGTTCTTCACGTGCGAATAAATAGAGAATCTCCTACCAGTCTTTTTTTGATATCAAAAAATATCAACACAAGTTGATAATGTAACAAAAAACGAGGCTCTGCCGAGTTTTTTTTTTACTTTATCAACGAGTGTTGATATTTTTTGATATCAAAAAAGACGAGTAGGAGATTTTATTTATCACCCAATCCCTTCTTACATGCACAAATAGATAAATATAATTCTTTGCTGTAGATTTCACTTTTACTGAACATTACAGCGTAGTGATACATCATTTTTTGACAGCAATTTAACCATTGCAAAGTCCTTTATATTGGCCCAGTGTTTCCATCAAGGTCAATTGAATAACAATAGTTCATTTTTGAAAAAAAAAGTTTCTTTTAATAAGAAATGAACTGTTCTTTGAAAATAAAAAAAAGTAGTTCCATTTCAACTGACCAATCAAATTCATGTAAAGCGATATCTTCTAAGGAGATATCGCAGTAGATTATGAAATATATCACACAAGCGATATCTACTGTGGAATGAATTATTGGGTGATAATCTTAATTAATCAACTTGTCAATAATATCATATATAATGTATTACTATTAGACGCAATAAACAACACCAACATTCTATATTTGATCAAAGCTTGATAACAACTATATATTTTATCATCAAAGTGATTCTAAAGCAAAGACCAGTATTTCAGACAATTTTAATTTGATTATGAGTAATGCCACACATAAATATGCGAATAAAATCAAACACAAAATACTTACTCTGCTTGAACTGTACATGTATATGTAAGAAACCATACTAATAATAACATAATTAATACATCGGCGTAAACATTTCTAGCATAATTCCTCATATTCACAATTATATCGGTAAAGTCTCCATCGAGGCACAGTGGTAACAGTTGTTTATGCAATGCGCAGTAGTGAGCTTTTCACTCTGCATATACCTTACTATTACTTAGTGATGCGTGAAATCAACTAAATCCGGGTTCCGATAACGTAATATTTATGTAGTTACTGTAATGTAACCCTTTATAAAACAAATTAGCGAATGCAATATAACCTGAAACCAGAATACACGTTTGCTCTGAATTAAAATGGTGGGCCGTTATGTAAGACCAAACAGCTCTTTATTCAGTGTTCTTAATTCTTAGCTCTTAATTCATAGACCTTAAATTCTTGTTTCTTCATTTGTTGTCGTATTTACAAATCAGGCATTTGTCATCTCAGCTTTATAAATTTTATCTTTGTTTAAAGTAGCTAAGTCTCTAACTCAATATCATCCAAAGTCTTCAACATTGAAAACACGATTTATTTGTCAAATTAAATCAACATTCATGTTGTGATCTTACCGGAAAAAGATGGGCTTTTGATATCCAATATTTAAGACAAAATAAACATTTTACCATTGGTACACGAATCGTGTACCATAATGCGCTTCAGCCCCAGTTGTATCAAGAGACTCGAGGGACGAGGCTAGACCCATTGCACCAAATCAAACGGCGTATGTAGACAGGAAAAACCAGACGCTAGAAATTTGCACTCGCTTGAGATTGCTGGCTTATTTCGCCGAACATAACTGATTTGAAATTGGAGTAAAAACGGAAACCATTGAATGTAAATCAGTTTATATACATTCATATTACATTATTATATGCGTTGCGACTTAGCTACTTTAAGCCATATTTCACCTAAAGAAGGATTTAGATACTTTCCTAAAAATACTATCGATATGGCTGTTTCATTTACAATTTTTGTATAAAATAAGTCCGGGATGTCTATGTTCAGTTATTCCTTTTATTCTTATTGAGTTTCTTTAAAGGGGTGGGTTTACAATAATGCGTTTAGTTGTTGGGATTTGAGTTTCTGTCTTAAGAGGGTTGAATTTCACCGCTGCACCGCGGGATGCCAGTAGGATTGCTCATGGAATCCAAGAGGTTTTATTTATCATGACACATTGTTGCCGATTGTCAAGATAGTTCTTTAACCACAATAATACATGTAACTCCTTTCGGACCCCAGCAGCATCCAGTTTGCGGCAACAAGCCAGACTCTGGTAAAAGCCTAGCATAATGATTATGATCCATATTTTGACAAATAAGTGATTTAGATCTATTAGTTGGAAGATGGTTCAATCACCTGAAAGGAAACCTCTTTGAAGTGTTGTTAGAATTGAATTGTCCTTGAAGAAGTTAAGGACCGGCACATATACTATGACAGATCTCATGTTCGAGATTATTTATAACACTAGGGCTGGGACAATTGAGAATTAAGTTTCATTTTTAATCTACTCAAAATATACAGGGACAATAGATTTGGGATTAATAAATGCCAAACTTTTGAACTTGATAGTGTAATACTGTGAAATTATCATTTTTAAATTAATTCCACGCATGAAATAATAAGATAAATCAATATAATTTAACAAATATTCTGAAATAAAGTCATTAAATACTTACCTGGCCTGTGTTTCATAAAAATTAAAACATAACAGTAAACCCACAATTAATCTTTTCATAACATTTGCCATTATTTACTTCGGTTTATTGTAGCCTTCAATTAATACATCCAACTTCAGTGAGTTAAGAAGAAATAAATAAAGATAGATGTCGTGCTTTAACTGAATGTCAAACGCAATATGATTTCATAAATAGCAACGCCCATGCTATTAAATCAGTTGTCTAGGAAAAGATCGGTTCTCTGTGTATCAAATAACATGACATTTACTTAAAGATGCATTATGTAAGATTTACATAAAATGAAATGAAATCTAATGGGGGTTAACTTCTTACTGTTGTGCTCCGACTGGACGAATACAGTGTGCAATGGGGAACATTTGGCTACGACAGTGGCGCTACGGCGTACTCTTATATCGAATTACAACTGCCAAGGTATCTTTTACATGCTCGCCAAAATTTACATAAAGAGATGGCCATTCTTGCTATAATGGTTTTGAAAAAAGATAATGAAAAATGAATATGTTAAAAAGTTCATTAAAATTACTCTATTCTTTGCGAAATTATCGGTGTTGGAAGATGTAGCGCGGATCGTTTATTATCGTAGCAACGGGACAGGACATTCGTATTTTAATCCTTCTAAATCTTTGCCACCCGATGTCCTAGAGTTTAATATAGATTTGTTATGCTAATAAATGCATAAGTAATAGTTTATATATCATTTGAAGCGAAAAAAAGAAAGACGTATTATAGTCAGATTTAGCTCTTACATAATGCATCTTAAAACTTGCATATTAAGTGTCATGATTATGAACACCTTATTTTCGCTTTCGATTAAACATCCTAAATAATTGTAACTTGAAGATGGGCTCCTTTTATAGACTAAAATTAAAGTGTTAGCCAGGTAATAATGTATAATGAGTATATAGTAGTTATGTCCATATATGTTCAGTATTTTCGGTGGCAAAGTGACTGCCATATGGAAATCATGATCATACAATTTAAAAATCAACGCCAAAATGTCACGATATTAAGTTTCCGACTAAGTACCTTTATACGACTCCTAATTTTTTCTGAATGAATAATGCATTAAAACAATGATTTGTGCGACATTTTTCGGGAATCGATTATTATTTGTTTCATCAATTCCACGGGAATCAAAACTTATCGAAATGGACTAATGGATTAAGATTTAAAACTTATAAAAACAATGTAAAACAGTGTCTAGCGCCTCTCCAGAGCTGTCACCCTGCTTTATGCGCTACATTTTATTTAGAGCAATCAATTCTACTACCTTAGTTATATTCTCACGATGACGTAGTATAAACATACCACATTAAATTTTCAGTTTAAAACCGGACACTGTCAGGTCCAAAAATTATTCATATTGATAAGTTAAGTTCTAACCATTTCACATATTGGATCCTTTATATCGTTATAGATCACCCGGTGGAAGCCGACGTTATAATTCTTACGTCATATAGCCAGCGGTGGATCCAAAAGAGGAGCAGGAGTACCACTCTAGTGAAAACCTTTAGGTATATGGTAGATAAATGTATAATTTTTGGAGGCGGTTAGATTTATAGCAATAATTGACAGCCTTGGCTAAAGGGCAAATTGTATAAATGAAATGAAATGAAATGGGGTTTAACGTCCCACTGTTCTGCTCCTATATTGGGCTAATGAAGACGGGCATACACCATACAGTGTGCTATAAGGGAAATTTTGCCCGGGCAGCGGCACTATCGCCTACTCTTATATCGAATTCCAACTGCCAAGGGATCTTTTACGTGCATTCCAATGTATACACGGGACCTCGGTTTTTCGTCTCATCACAAGGACTAGACAGCTGTCCTTGTGAGGCCCTCCGTCCTGCACCACTGACAAGGGAAACCACGTCGGAAAATCCAGATGAACTTTCTCGGCCAATGCAGGGATCGAACACCCGACCTCCAGGCTAGCGAGCCAGGCAAATTGTATAAACCTACATAGATGTTATGAGGGGCTAATCTTCTTTAGATTTGGCCAAAATATAATATTTAATTTGATTCACCTGATGTGTTATTAATGCAGGGATCGAACACCCGACCTCCAGGCTAGCGAGCCAGGCAAATTGTATAAACCTACATAGATGTTATGAGGGGCTAATCTTCTTTAGATTTGGCCAAAATAAAATATTGAATTTGATTCACCTGATGTGTTATTAATGATTGGTAATATTTACACAATTCAATTTATGTTTCTAAAGATTGAATCTTAGTTTACTATGTGGACCAAAACACAACACTGGCTTAAGCTTTTTATACATCCAATAAAATAAATCAGTACATACAACCACATGACATGTTTGACACAAATAAAAGAGGATGGGTTTCAGTTTATTTTGAGCAACAATCCAACATAATTAGGCCAAATAATACAGCACGTGGATGAGGGTTATGCCCAGTGCAAACGCTCTGTTAAACAAGCTAAACTGAAAGAACAAGGAAGAAATTTCAAAAAAGGTCAGGAATGCAGTAAATATATACCTTTTAAATAGATACTTACATTTTTGTCCCGTGATTATCAATATATTATTTCAGAAGAAAAAAATAAGATGCAATTTATTCTATCAAATTCCCCCCAAAAAACTTACACGCGATAAATTATAGAAAATCCTTGAATACTTAAAATCTGTAAACAAATTGCTATGAATTTATACAATCAGCGATGGAATAGAAGCTTCGTCTTAAATTTTACATACGGCCGAACTCGAACATCTTCGATGCAACTGTATTTTCTAATTAGGTCAAATGGAAATTTATAACAAGATAGTTAGTCATCATGGTGTTAATAGAACATGTATTGGGGACTGCCCAGAAAACTTGACGTTTCTAGGTAAATAGTTGACACCTAGAAAACTATACTTGTGATTTTTCCCAAATGGCACCCGGTGGAATATATACACCAAGAAGCGACACGAAACGCTTGAAACCCGGTTGACAACTATTCTAGACCGCCCCTAATTAGATAGGAAATACTAACCGGCACTGTAATATATCTAATCATAATATAGGAAAACTACTTACAGCAGCCACTATAATTATATAGGAAAGAATTATAAAGATCTACTATCCAACGTTGAATATTCTTGCTGTATAAGTATAATGACGGGAAACACAGTGGGGTTTAATATTTATATATCTATTGTATGAAAATATAGGAACAAATTATAAAGATTGGCAACAAGATGTTATTTGTATAGGTAATATTGTAACATCTACAAAGATATTTGGAATTAATAATTTCAGTATGTTAAAGTACAATAGTATGATTATAATGTAGGAAAAGACCGCAGGGGTCCACAGCTGATATTGTTAAATATATTCTTGGTAACTTCGATATATCAGGCATCTCGATGGTAAGGGAAGCAACTTTTGTCTCTTGCCATTGTATAACGTCCGCTCCTCCTGGCGATGTTCCTAAACTGACTTCATAATACAGGTTCTTCCATGGGGACGTAAATAAATCTCTCCATGACATTTCCATAGATTTACCATCAAATGATCGGGCAATTAATAATTTTGAACCCGCTGAAATATATAGAATAGTAATAATAGTAACTTTATTTATTCAGAATATACCATTCAATAAAAACCAGTAGTCACACTGCACAGTTCATTCAAATAATATTAAGAAAATGAGCATATTTCTAAAAACAGGGCCAAAACATCCGGTTAAACGCGCTATCGATGCAAATTTACAGCTGAATAGTTGAACTAAAGTTTTTTCGAACTCCACTTCATAAACGAAATTAAAGATGCTCAAACGAAATCCAATTTCTGACATAATCCAATAAAAAAGTAAAGACTTTTTGTAACCCGTGGATAATTTTACACATCATAGATCAAATTTGAAATTTTTCTATTGGCAGAATGACTTATACAAACCTTGTAAAATTGGAGGTTGTGCTACAGATGATATTACTGTTGATATAGAATTGTCTTGTCTTCCTAATACATTAATAGTAGAAACACTAACATTATAGTTAGAGTTAGGTTGTAGTGATAAACTTCTTAATTTAGCCTGGTTATAACCGATCTCTGAAACTCGAACTTCCTTATCTAAATTATAACCTGGACCATACACCGATACCTGGTAATAAAAGAACATAAATCTAATACTTGTAACGACCAATGTAAATCGTGTAAAGAAGACAATCTGTTTCACAGAGGATTAAGAAATTTTTCCAATAACTCTGTAAATGATGACTGCTTTCAACACCTGACGTCACATCACACGGCGTCAATCATTGGCACAATGGTGCGTGCATTGTTTACATAAGACATTTACACTAAATAGGACATATTTTTCAAAACCTTTATTTATTTTTCTAAAGCTTAAAACAGATGTTCAACAATTTCATTTGCAGAACAAAAAAGTTAATCTGTGGGGCCCATTAAGCAGCATCGATGTAGCAGCCTGGCTAATATCTACGGCTGATCAGTTTTTCAGTCAGGGTGCTTATTCTAAACCGAAACACTAACTCGTTTTATTATGAAAAAAGACACTGCTAATTCTTGGCGTTCAAATGTGCACAGATAAGATTAAAAGTCCATTTGTCTGGAATTTCTCATTTTCTTAAAAATTGAATACCTGTATAGACTTGGTACCAATTCTGGTATTTTCTAAATCCCATTTTAATCGTAAACTATTAGTCAATGGATAACAATCATCCTTCACCGGATATGCAGATACTCCATCTTGATGAATAGCGATTTGCCCCTCTGATATGGCAGCCATTTTGTTTATAACCAGAAGAACGCCATCAGTAGTAGCTGTAGTTGGTAACCCAGCTTTATTATAACATCTTACAGTAGAATAAACTTGTTTAGAGTTCTGTATTTGATCAACGGGGAGTTCTACTTGAGCAAATGATTGTTTATCTGGTACAGGAGTAAATGGCTGTATATCAACACCGCCATGCGTTGAACCTAGTATGTAAAACAAATGAATAAACGTGTCAATAATTAAATAACCCCCCGCCCCTGCTCAGCTACATAAAGTTTTTGTAAATCAACACTTTTATGAGAAAAGTTTCTCGGCCGTGTGCTTTGTCCTTTATCGTCAGATGTGGGACAGGATGGGCACTTAAAGCACGAGATAATGATATAAACATTATGTGATATCACAATTAATGCTTTGCACCCATGAGATTGAATCACAATGTCATTGTATTAATTCATAATAAAAATTGACGTCAAACGAGGTGTTGAATTTCTCTGTTTAAAAAGCTTAATGTGTATGTATATACGCCCAAATGACGATAGAGACCATGAGGTGGGGGGGGGGGATACATTGTCTCAGGAACCTGGCAAACCCCCTGCTGCAAAAATTCCTGGATCCGCCCCTGCCTACATGTTCTCTTGTTGATACAAATAGTAGATTGTATGTTGTAGAAATTAACAATAATTACAGCCAACCGTCGACTTAGGTTACATACATAGAGATACGGTATTTGTTATATGTTGTAATGCAAAATGAAATTGGATTTAACGTCCTACTGTTCTACATTTGGTGGGCTAATAAAGACGGGCATTCGCCATAGAGTGGGCCACGAGGGGAATCTTGTCTATAACTGATTAACAAATTACGTTATTCCAACGTTGAAAATAGTGAAGTATTACCTATAGCCCATTGACAATATTCTACTCCTGATTCTGGATCTCCTACTTTCCAGTTAACTGATATGAGTTTGGTTAGCTGGAAATTTACATCATTCTCTAAAATGATCAAAACATATTTAAATCAACAAAAGAGAAAGACAGACAAGAAACACTCGAGTTGATGCGAATTCGTCCTTCAGAGTTCTGATGACAAAGGTTACGTGGTTTTGATCAAATGTTAACTGTGACTGGCTTAGTAAACAGTAAAAAAAACTGTCATGTAATAAGCAAGTTTTAACCCTGAACTTGGTGTGGATAACCATTCTGATAATAACATAGGCTTCTGTCAATTTTATTTAAATAGCTGATTTTTCATTGTGGTGGGCAGTAATATTTTCCATTAAAGTACCCAACAATCAACATTTAATTTCTTACCTATACCATCGTTCATCTCTGATATTATTGGCGGAGTCATATCGGCAACAATACTCTCTGATTGGCTGACAGTTGTTAGTCCGGCGCCATTGGTTGACATCACCGTCAAGTAAAGTAATGTATTATGGGCTAAATTTAGACCAGATGCTGTAGCTTGCTGATTTCTGCCAACACTTGTGAACGACTGAATCTGGGTTCCACCTTTCACAGTTCCTGAAATTAAAATGATTGTTTTGATTGAAAACCGTTGTCAAAACGATTTAGAAAATAAGAATGCTCCCTGAGTAATTTTCCAATGTAATCAGTAAATATATTTGATACCAAAATCAACTGGATTGCTAAATAAAATCTACAAAAACAGGAAATGTATTGCTATAACTAAATACCTACATGATTTAAACACTATTGTATTACTTATAGTCACTGATATATTTACATACAGTAGTACATGTATTCAAGCTAAACTTACCTAGTGCCCATTGATAATCTGTAATATGACTTTGATCATCTTTAAAATGCCAGGTAAGATGAAGAGATGACCAATAAGGTCTAAATACTGTATGATGTATTAAATGATTAGAATCACTTGTTATATCTATATAATTAACTTGTTGTACATATACATCATCTACAGCTAATATCATATGTAATTTACTTGTACCAATTCTTATCACTTCTCTTGCTTCTCTTGGATGGAATACATAAGTAAATTTATTCCATACTATTAATGGTTGTTGGTCGATGTCACATATCCCCTGGCATCGTTCTGGGTCAAGGCTGAAAGTGTGAGTTTCTTGTCCGAATTGCACGAAACCTTCGACGTTGTGATGCTGAATGCTAACATCATGTGGATATCCAACATGTACTATAACATGGTAAGCACTTTGGGTGTTTAAATCAAAAACTGTTTGTTGAATATGACCTTTCACTTTAATATAGGTTCCGCCTTCTTTTGAAACGGAAGGTTGTGATTGGATAATTTTAATACACGAGGTGGAGTCAAAATACCAACGAGCTGGTGGTTGGTCATCACATTCCTTATTTGATTCCTCCGCGCCTTCTTCAAATGATGGATTGGCGATGCGATTTTCTCCAATATAATCTATATCAACCGGTACTGGGGGCGTGGTATCAATTGTAATACCATCAGACACTGCTACATCAGATTTCAACCCACTTCCATCTACAGCATACACTTTATTATAAATTTTCATACCTATAACAATAAAATACAGTAATGGTATTTGTTACGGTGGCAGTAATACTTTGATAATAGAAGATCACATTTGGAAACAAAACATTCAGAAATTCATTCTTTGGAACGAGATGGCTTGAGAGGGGACTCTTTCCAAAGGCATTTGCCGTCATCATTAGCCCAGTTTAGGAGCAGAACAGTAGGACGTTAAACCCCATTTCATTTCATTTTCTTATCCACTATACTACTGTAGGGGACCAGTTTCGCACGTGTCGAGATAAGAAAACAGTATGACTAGTAATATATTTATCCACACTGTAGCATATTATATAGTGTCCCAATAATGAAAGGGTTTGTATTTTTGAATAAAATACCTAATAGATTCAATTTTATTCAATTAATATGGAAACTTTAGAATGCCTACCATGATTTAAAGGTGAGGTTAGGTTTACAGACAGTCTAGTATTTAATCCTACATTCTTCCAGTCGTGTATATTACAATCTGTAGTACTAATACCAGTACCAATACACCAGTAATATTTAACTATACCAGTACCACTATCAGTAAAACCATACCATGATGATGATATAACTGTTGTAGAGTATTGGTAATCTTTATCATAGATATCTGTAAAATATGAAATAATAAGAGACCGTATCCGCCATTTTATCATGGTTGTCTATAAAAAGATAAATAATAAACCTTATCACCAAACAGGAAATTCCTTAGGGAAACAGCTTGAAAATACATACCAGATTTAAAAGATTATGAAATTGAAATCGGCTAAAATAAGTCTATGAGTTGTGTTGGGTAATTTTAGGGTGACCGCAATGCCCCCACCCCCTCCCAACCAAAACCCACAAATCTTTGAATAACACTGTTGATTGTAATTTTTCTTTTTGGAAAAAACATGACTTTATGCAAAGCGACCAAGATAACTAAAACTTTGGACAACGATCGTACGCAGACAAAGTTCAAGAAGCTGTAAGATTTAATAAATTTTTTACGGGGTTCTTTTTGGGGGGGGCCACAATCTATATTCAATAATTTCAATAGTTTACTTACCATTACCATCATATATAATACCGGAAGTAGGAGTTGTATTGTCTATTAATATTCCATCACTATTGGCCCAGCTCAATAATCCTGCTTTATTATAAGCTAGTACAGTACTATAATATTCTCTATTCTCTTGTAGATTTAGATTAGTAGCTGTATAGATACTAGTATTTCCAGGTACTCTTGTAGATGACTGATGAACGTTGTGTCCTACATTTAAAAAAAAAAAGACGCCAAGACCGCTATTGATTACATTATTAAAGATGCAATATGCAAGATTTAGATAAATAGATAATGAAACAGCAATAAAAAAATATTTTGACAATTCCTTTTAGTTCTCTATTCTGAGTGGGGTTGTTAGTGTTTTAGGTTTAGCTAAGAATAGCGTTACAGTCTCGATTTTTATTAATGTTATCGTATTTCAAAACTTGACATTCCCATGGCCTAGAGAGTTAGTTCTCTATTCTGAGTGGGGTTGTTAGTGTTTTAGGATTTGCTAAGAATAGCGTTACAGTCTCGATTTTTATTAATGTTATCGTATTTCAAAATTTGACATTCCCATGGCCTAGAGAGTTGATTACGGGCTTCTCTTGTGAATAAATTTCTAATAATTGTTATAAGATTTGAGGCCAAAAGAAAGTTTTGCAATCTTTAAGACTCACTATACTAGATAATGAGATTGGTCGGGACTGGTTCAAAAATATCTTAGGAATGGAAACATCAGTTTAAAAATGTTGTCATACATTTAATAAATACATGTTTCCGTGAAACTTTTAATGTGATTATGTTACTATTAAAACCCACCTTGTGGATGAGTGCTTATATAAGGCTTAAAATAATCTAATCCACGAATTCCTCCTCTAAATTTATTCTTCCAACCAACAATAATCTGATTGCTGGATGTTTGGTAATCTATATCGTTAACACTTAATATAGTTTCTAATTCTTTTATCTGGATAAAAAATAGAGCAATACATCTCAAAATCAAATCAATAATTCTATTTAAAATAGGTTAATCAAAACGGGGAAAAATCGTGATATAATGACAGTTATAATTATTAAATAGCTTGGAGTTTTTAACTTATTTTTAAGTACTTACATCAGCTCCCGCTATGTGACTGACACTCGGAGCAGACATCAGTGGTGTAATACCAGGAGACTTAAATATCGCATATTGATATGCATTATACCATACCCTCACAAATACACTATATGGCACAGACTTATCTAAAACTTTAGCTGTAATAAATAAAATAATATTACGAAATTACATGTACTAGAAACACCGTGGGACCTTAAGCCGATCCCTGTGACACACCTTTACAAGAAAGAAGACTTTTGTTTATAGAGCTTTATACGTATGTTTCAATGCTTATAGCTGAATGTATTGATAAGGTATCCTATTGTAACTGAGTGAAGGTTGTGTGATTTGTTAATATTACATATTATTAAATATACAGTATTAGTGATTGTTTCTTGAAAGAAATGAATAACATTTTTAAAAGGTATACCTGTAGGTAAAGTTATTATAGTTTCGGTATTTTCACCAACATCAAACCATGTCCTTTCTGTATCAGTGTCATATATTCCACTGGGTAAATTTTCACCGGAATGACCGGCACTGCATTCATATCTAAAATACCATATGCTGAGTTTGAATTCATGGTAATTGCTATGTAGTTAATAATGAACTTAGCTGGTTTTGGCAGGCTGAAGCCTAGATCATCATGATATAGCGGGCCTGCGCCCAGTTGTATGATATGTTGAGGTTTAATTTACCTTATAGATGAGAGACATTGTTGGTTTATTAAAGAGGTTTCATTTACCTAATAGATGAGTGACCCTGTTGGTTTATTAAAGGGGTTGTTTAATTTATCTAAATTTAATTTAATTTATAGACGAGAGACCTTGTTGGTTTATGAAAGGGGTTTAATTTGCCTTATAGATGAGAGACCGTGTTGGTTTATTAAAAATATTTAATTTATCTAAGTTTAATTCACCTTATAGGAGAGATACCTTGTGGGTTTATTATCCTCCATCTGGCAGCTAGAAAATTATCAGACGATGTGTAGTAAGTCTGTGCAGCATCATATGACATCAAATTAGTCATGTCAGTAACTTGGATAATATTATTTGGATTCCCTGCAAGGATGATGATAAATAAGAAATCAATCACATGGCCGATAGCATAAAATATACAACAATAGAGAAATACGGGAATAGTGTGGCATACAACATCTGGAATTACTTAAGGTAGACTAAACACAGTGGGACATTACTGTGACGAATGCAAAGGAAACCCTAACATAAAAGTTCACAAAGAATTAATTAATGAATAATTTTAATAAAGTGTATAGATATATACCTGTTGAGATGTCTCTACAGTTGTCAGCATCTGAACATGTTTTGTCTTGTCCAGCACAAACA